TTCCTACCCCTTTTCCTGCCAGCTCATTCTGGGCTGTAAAACACAAACTGCAGAATTAACTGATAATAGCTAAATATCTAATGTTCATTGGGAAAAAAAAAAAAAGTCCTTTAAAGCAGTGAGAATAAAGACATATTCATGGTAGTCAAGCCATTGTAAAGAGACTATATTGTACTTAAATATTTTGAGTGCAACCATTGCTTTGTGATTAATAAATTAATATTTGTGTTTACATTTTATATGTAATTGTGTACCTTTTTTGCCTTCAAATACACAATTTGTATAGAAACAGTAGGCTAAATGTTTGAGACTTTAAGTAAATGTATATTTCATTCAGTACTTAAAAGCATCAATAGTTTGACTATTTTACCCAATAATTGTGTACTGCTTATTCGTTGTTAGCTTAGCAGCATGCTAACAACAGGTTCGAGAGGATAAACTTAATACAGAAGTGAAACAGTACCTCATATACCAGAATGTGGCTATACAACAAAACTGATGTGCTATGGGTTCTGCACAGTGATAAGGTGAATTGGAATGCTGAATTGACAAATCAGCATCCAAGACTATAAGACAAATCCATTTTATAGGACAAAATAAATATGTACACAGTTACTGATGGTGACTTCAGTTTGAGATTTTGATTTTTTTTATTATATACCTGTAACTCTGAAAAGAAAATAGATTTCCAGCAGTTTTACTAACCTGCTGCAACATGTTCTTCAACTAATGAAGGATCTGAAAATTCAATTTTCTCCTGATTTTGAGTTGACTGTGCTACCAGTTTGCTGGCTTTAATAGGACCTGCAACAAAACATGGTTTAAATCCAGTTGTAAAAGCGATAATTTCAATGCAGCTGAAAGAAACCCTTCCAATTAAGAAAACAAAACACTGCAAGCAGTACTATTAACCTGCAAAATTTGAGGAATTCACAGATTCATCTGTTTTCTTATCGTAAGTTAAAACAGCCTTCCAGTTGACTCCTGGTACCTTCTTCAGCCTCAACTCTAATGGACATCTGGTCACAATTCCTATAGCAAACAGTCGACAATCAACAGAAAATTAAAGTGGAAAATTATGTGACAAGTGCTTTATCTATCCATCCATCTAGAGAGACAGAGAGAGACAGAGAGAGTCACAACATCCCTTGACCTGCAAAATATTATGTTAGAGTGTTGTTTTTGTTATTATTATTAGCTTTGTTGTTTGTATAGAAACCATAAAACCATGGTATGCATTCCCATTGTATCTTTGTGTATTGGAGTTTTAAAAAAAACAACAAAAAAACTCATTCCTGTAGTAGAAAACATAGTCCCATGGCCCTATGTGTTTTCAATCGGGGCCTTGTCACCAGATCTCAGACAAACCAATAGAGCAATATTGGAGAGATGTGCTTAAAGTGGTCACGGAGTGTGTATGAACATCCAATAGCAAAGATTAAATTAGTCCTCACCGTTTCCTCTTGGTAACGCAACTCCTGACAGCGCTTCCAACACAGAGCTTTTTCCAGAACTCTGGTCTCCAATCACTACAATAGTTGGTAATGCCAAGTCTTTATGGATGCCAACTGACCGTAGAGTGTCAATCAGATCAATGTATGGACGAATGCTCTCTTCTAAATGACTGTGAACCTCTCCCCTCATTTTCTGACTGTAAAGATAGATGTACACATGTAAAGAAAAAAAAAA